TGGTCTGTTTGCTTGAGCTCTTGGGGGCTTTAGTTGGGCTCTTCAGCAGCAAGTAGGGCCTGGTGCCAGGTGGTACAGTGCTCAGCTCCTCCCAGGTATAATGACACAGGTTTTTAATACCAGCAGGTAGCCACAGGTTCATCTCCTGGCAAACCTTTAGCAACTTCTCAATTTCTGCAAAGAAATGTGGAGCTCTTGCAATATACAGCTCAAAGAGGCTCTCTAGGTCCATGACTCTTCAGCTTTAACACCTACTCATGTACGATTGAAGGAGCTCACATATTCAGATCAGTCTAATCCTGTGAATTTGGCCTATAAATAGTTGCAGAATGGGAGGACATTATTTCCTAGAAGAAAGAAAATATGGTTATTTATACTGTACATAAAAAAGCCAACTTCAACACCACCAAATCAAAACTGAATTGTGTTAAATTGTCAAAGTTTTGGCATTGAGCAAGCAGAGGGAAATCCTTGTTTGCAGTGGTGAATCATTGAAATGAAATGCCATGACTAGTCAGATACTGAAAATGTACTTCAGGGTCAAGTTCTCCAAAGAGAATTAATGACAAGGATAATACTTGGATCTACATTGTCCACAAATCAGGCACTTCCTATTAGGCTATTTCAGCTTCAGGTAAGTGCTTTATAGTGGGAGAGTTCGTTGTAATACTGCCTACTTCTGAGCCAGTTATACAGCTTCCTGTAAATTCTAAGATTGCTTAATGCTCTCCTATCAGAGTCAGCCTCCCTAGAAAACATTTGCTTAGGTCATACAATTTAATGATATCAGGCTCGAATGCAATATAAATTAACAAGATAATATATTCAATATAATACAGTACCTTCAATTTTACTCCTAACTGTTCCTCCCATTTTTATAAAAAATGTATTTGTGGACCAGGAAAATGTGAAAAAATACCAAATCTCTTCACCTCACAAGAGTTTTTCTGTAAACATATGGTACTTACTTTGTCATGTTATTCTAAGTTACATCAGAATAAATGCCTAGAGAAATTAATTTGTTGCCTTTTGCATTTCAACTGCAATAACTATGTCAGAGTTTTAGAACCCTTATTTGTCAAAAGAGTCATATTCTGAATTCTAGTACTTGTATAGAAGGTTCTACTTTCTATGAGCAGCTTTGTCCTAGTCTTCTCTTAACAATCAATAACTCAGTAAATATCTCAGCACTATCACGCAGCACACATTCAAAACAGTTTTTGTTTTATTTGGCCATTTTAAAAGCCTGATGTATTCATTTGCTATGACAAGATATAACGATTATTATAAGATTATAAATTATTTTCACATTTTAAAATGCTTTTTTCTAACTATACAGATTCAAGACTTCCCTTAAAAATAAATCCAGCTTTGCATTTTATTAATCTGTAGTTTTTGATATATTACCTATATTGTAGATTCTGAAGTGGTTGTAGCTGTATAACATTAAGCATCTTATACTCATTCCAGAAAGATTATAATGCAATTATAATAATAATGGTTATAAAGAGAAACAAAAACTCTCCAAAAATGATGAATTAACAGGTATGATGCCACCTTTGCCAAAACAAAGGCATTAGTATTTCCTTTTATACTTACTGGTAGCATGATTTGAGAATTCCTTTCAGTTATTTAAGTTTTTAAAAAAGGTAATGTAAGGAGGCATAACACAATCTAAGACACACTTTCAAAATCATGCAAAATATATACAAGACAAAATGCAAGGAACAAAAAAGATAAAAATTACCAGACATTTACTGCTATTCCAGTCCTATAAATGGTATAAAGGTCAGTTTGCTAGCTCTCTCCCTAAATACCTCATCAGACCTAAGCATTGCTACTTTCCATATTTTGCGGTGGTCTTGTTTTACTTGTATACAAGGGCTTGCCCCTAAAGAAATCTCACATTGTTGTGCCCAGACAACACTGTCATCTCACTTTTAAGACACTTCACAGCTTGGTGCCTGTTGGCCCTCCTGTAGGAGAATGTTAAGTGGCTTGTGACCTGAGCAATCCTCAACCTACAGGATGCTCACATGACTGGTGCAGGAGACTGCTGTTGAATGCACAGTCCAGAACTGAGAGAAAGAAAGTCCTGCTCCACTGAACAGCGAAGATGGGAGGATTAATTCCAGTCCTAAGCGAATTACTGCTAATCTTGAAATGCATTTTTTAAAACGACTGCTAAAAATGATATTCCTCACTAACTCCACCTTAATATGTCAAAATATCAGGCCAAATAATCAAACAGCAATTTTCCACTAATTACTTTAAAGGAAAATAGTACCACACTTTGCCCTATTTCCGTTTAAGATGGATAGTCTGTTTTTTAGCAACTTATAGAGAGGATCAGCATGTCGTTAGCTTGTTAATGGGGTTATGCCCGCAGAGAAGCTCCAAGATCAATTTTATGATTCTGGTAATATTGCAAAAGGCATTTGTTAAGAGATAAGACGTGTGTAGTACACATGGGTTTTGGAATCATTTATTTTACCTTAGTTTTATTTAAAGTATTTCTTTACTGCTGCTTCCTACAAAGAGATTAAATTCACTTTCCCCCCTTATAATTAACATGCTGTTTGTAACTGGACTTAGTGCGATATACAGTAGGTGTCTGTTGTACATAGAATTACATACACATATTTTCCTTTTTGTGAGAAAAAAGGACCCAGTTTTTAATATATGAATACGAATCTTAACTTTTCACTTATTTGATTTTTGTCTGAGAATTATTATAAAACGGAACATAAAAAACTGGATAGATCAATTTCCAACTGTTTTGTACACAGACTAGAGAAGCTACTGAAGAGAAACACATTTTGCGTTTAAACACTTTACATTTCTTATAGGGTTTTTTTTGCCAGAAAGATACTTCAGTTTTGGTCACTAAAAAATGTAAGAAAACACTTTCATTTATAGAAGTCAGTTGTTTTAAGGGAAAATAAAGCAAACTGTAATGTGTCGTATTTTTAAAGAACTTAAAGTGTCTATTTCCTTGATATTCCCGGAAACCATGAGTAAGCATTTTCCCTAGATGAAATACAACTTAGTTTTTTTTAATCAGGGCTGATAATTGAAAGAAATATGTTATTGATCAGTAGGATACCTACAAGTAAGTCAAAGTAATTCCCGCTTCTTCTTCTGTAAAAACGCTGGCAGAAATCTCTTGTTAATAGCTACTCAAATTAATACTAGAAAACATTTTCTGAAACACATCTGCCAAAATCGTTTGTTTCACACAATGATATATTAAACATATAAGACACAACAGAGCTCCAATAGTTGATGGATCATCAATTGAGAAGGCATTCGATTTTTTTAAGAATACATTTTAGTCAGTGAGCTCTAATCAGATGGACTTGTTAATGAGCATTCTGCCATCTACTGGATTTGTATTGTTAACGCATTTTCAAAACTGTGCTTATAAGTCAGGAAAAAGGATAAACCGTTTATAACATACCGACGCTTCCAGACAACATCGCTTAAACATAAAAGCAAATCAGTTTAAAAACGACTTAAAACTTTGTACAATTCTATACGAGTAAATACATAAATATAAAATTTAAATAATTAATCTGATAATGGGCAGCACAGTGACACAGCAGTTAGCATTGTAGCCTTGCAGTGCTGGGGCTGTGTTCAGTTCCTTACCTGGAGAGCTTTCTGCGTGGAGTTTGCACGAGGGGTTTCCTACAACACTCCAAAGACTTACTGGCAGCTTAACTGGCTTCTGGGAAAATTGGCACTGGTGTGAGTGTGTGCGTTGGTGTCTGAAGTCTCTGCCCTGTAATGGACTGGTGTCCTGTCCAGGGTGTAGCCTGCCTTCTGCCCGTTGCTTGCTGGGATAGGCTCTGGTTCCCCCACGACCCTGAATTAGAAGAAGCGGTTAGAAATGGATGAATAATCCAATAATTTTCCAAATCTTTCTAACTGATATTTAAATAAAAAATTAGATGTTTGACATACATAAGTTTTTTTCTTCCTAAGCCAGACAATTAATATATTGTGTGTTAATACAGTATGTAGAATGAAATTGTTGCAGTGATTGCAGCTCAGCAGAGAAAAAAATATCCCCAATCATCTCTTCACTTGCTGTGACTGCTGAGATGAAGACCTTAACATTTGCTGTTACCCTGGAGATAAAAAGGAAAAGGAAAAAGGAGAAGGAATCAAAAAGGAAAGTCACCTCACTGCTGAATTTCACAACTAATATTGGGAAGACCAGCAGGAACATATGACTTAAAAAAGTGATGACAGCTATTTATATACAACAAAGAAATCAAAGAAAAGCTACACAATATTTTGACAGAGTAGCTTTTCCTGTGTTAAAGGTGTTGATAATATTCCTGTCCTTACCATGAATTTAAAGCGACTTAAAAAACGTACCAACTGCTTCCCACAGTTTCACTTTAAGATGTTTCCTTAGAAAGCCTAACTAAAATGGTCTGAAATTTGTTACAAATATACTCCAACTGCTATGACTGCATAGACATATTCATAGCAACAAATGTGTTGTGTTGCTTAGTGTTCCAGACTACTCCTGGATTGACTCTGGATTTGAGCGATTGAGATAGGGAGCTTTACGTAGTCTATGTGTTAGGTTGGTTTGATTGGCTACTCTAAATCGTTCCCAGCATGACCTGTACCTGTTATGCAACAAAGCCTAAAATTCCAGTGTTTAGGGGTTTTAAATCCCACTATCAGCATTGCGTGAAAACAGCATCCATGATAGCGTAAAGCCCTGAATTCCAAATTATGCAGCCTTGAGCCAGTAAAAAAAATGTCTCTGTATACTAAGCAGCAGTACTGAGAACATGCCTTCAATATTGTGTTAGTTTCAAATTTGAATTGGAAGTAAACATGCAATCAAACTAAAGTATAATAAACCTGTCGATCACCAGACCAATACCTCACTTTTCCAAGTTATTCACACTTCTCTTACCCATGTGAAGTGCTGCCCTCTGATGGTGGTTAATATTAAATATTAGGATTTCTCTCACTTTAAGCAAACGGACTGCATTTATTTTCTGTGTACAGGATCACACAGTACAGTATTCCAAACATTATGAATACATAACACAGATCACTTATTACTGTAACCAAGAGGGGGCAGGGAGATAAAACGCAAAATTTAAACTGCCCACTAGTTTATGTCACAATGCATAACTGCATCCAAGGCACCTTTCCAGTTAACCTGTATCTTCCGAGAACACATTTAGGAGGTCTGACACCATAAAATCATTTAATTTGGTAACTGAGCACCAATAACTTAAAAAATTGTACTTTTGAGACATTTCGCAAGACTGAAATCACTGAGATTAATGGCTATTTATAAAAGAATTGCATGTCACAGCATACAGATTTTTTTCCCTTTCATTTAAAGCAGTTTAAGAGAAGCATATCCTTTTTACAGACAAAAATACATTGCCCTGCGGGTCCATAACCATGCAAAAGAATAGAACATCCAACAGGATGGCTGTCTCCAATGGTGAACTATATATTCATCTTGAGCAGAGAGGAGAAGGAAACAGCAGCTCACGTTTTGATGCAAGCTGACTTTAACAACTCATAGTGCTGCAGCCCTGAATCCCAGACACAGGAACATGATTGCCAAATAAACTGTACAACCAGGTTTCCAATACACCAGCATGCGTCAATGGAGCAAATTCTGAACATCGATTTGCTTTTCTGTGACAGTTCAGGTCTTGCAGTGAAGAATGGGATTATAGCCAAATTAAAAAAGGTTTCCAATTGACTGACATTACTCTGCATTCTAAACTAAAGTGCAGGTTTAAAAAGAAAAAGTCCTTATTAGAGCTTCAGAGTATTTTGGCATTACTTTTCAAAAACACAATGTTAATTAAAAAAAAATACTGGATTACTCTTAAATGATTAACTGAATATGAATTCCAAGATGCACTCTAGTCAGCAGTTTCATTTGGACATTAAATCACTTCCAATCAATTGAAAAATAGCACCAATTTCTTGTCTTCACTGCCTGCACCTTCATATTTAATATCTTTGAACAGCAATATAACAAACTTTGAATCCTTTTTTTTACCAAACTTGTCCTGATTCCTTTTGAGACACACTGTAATAATGTATTAATACAACCTATCTAAACCTGAAACCTGTAAAAAGGTGCACTAAATAAAACATCCATCTTCAACCTAAATATTAAGTTACAGATTTTCCAAATAAGTAACATTAGATCTTAAAATATTGAAATAAAAAGTATATACAAGGAAAAACAAAATGAGGCTAAATCCACATAGTTCCACGTTGATTCACTTGTAGATCGGGATAAACAGTTGGTGTGGTTTTTGAAGCAACAAGGCGTGAACATGTATCATATCCAGGCACTTTTGAGTTGGTGCAGTAGCAATTTTATTATGAATTTATGTGATAAAGATATTTCAAATTTTTTCAAAAGGAAATAAAGTGGTGTTCTGTCCCATGGACCCATGACAGAGAGGGCTCTGCTCCTATGCAGCTAAGTTAAAAACGCAAACTGAGAAAAACACAAGATCTCCCTTGAATAATGCAATGTGACTGCAAAATAATGCCATCAGCTTTCTCTGTGGTGCTGATGCGCTTCCTTATAGTACTTTATAAAGGACACAAAAACATTTCCCAACTCAAAAGTGCTTGAAAACCCAACGACAGAACTGAAAGCTATAGTTTGCCTCGTGTTCTCACAACAGCCGGACAACTCCACAGAACCGTACGAGTCTGTGCCAGGCTGCTGCAGAGAGTCTGTGGCTCCTGCCCGATACTCTGCAGGGAGGACCAGTGTGTTCAGGTTGAGTGTTTATAATAAGACAACAGTTCATCCAGACTCTGCTGTGGGGCTGACGTTTGCGATTGTGACTCTGACTGGGACGAGGCCATCGGCCCGATGTTGTCTCTGCTCTCTGAATTCTGGGCGTGTCTTCCTTGGAAAGGATATGTCTGCTTGCTTCTGTTCCAGTTCATCCCCTGGCTGGGTTTCATGTAGTCACTGAAATACTCCGTGGGAGGTGCAAACTCTGCATCACGCTCCTCTCTACGCTTGCTTGACCAGTGGCCAAAGGAAAAGGCTGCAGGAACAATGAAACAAAACTGAATTAAACCCATTAAATCCGATCATCCAGAGCATCTCTTTACCATGTTGAATACAGTTTAATTCCTTTCTTCATTGTGACTGTTTGTACTTTCTCCTCATGCAGCACTTGGGGACAAATACTGTAATGGTTAAAGATATGCACTGAAAACTCATATAGAATTATTCAGGATTGAAAATTGTGCAAGATTGCTCTGTTACATAAGATGGTTATTGCCACTACTGTATCTTCTCTGTCATGGCTACAACTGCTACATGCATTCCAGTGAAAGGACTTTGACACTTTATGAGATAAACTAAACTAGAAAGTGTTTAAATGGGTTACCTTTCCCTCTATCCCACTCTCGCACATGGGGCACACCAGTCTTGGTGTCCTTCCTCTCCTGTATCTCAACTTCAGTCTTCTTGTGTGTGGAAACAGAAGATGGCTCCTCAGAGTCTTGTTTGGGCTCTGCGATGGGCCCAATGAGCTCTTCCTCTCCTAGCAAGGTATAAGTACAGAACACAGGCTCAGTTTTCAGTTACTTACAATTAATATATGCAACACCACGGAGAAACAAATCTATTCCTTCCACATTTTTCAAAATGACAGATTATAAATGCGTTCATATTATTATGAAGATTTAGGAGACTACATTCTCTAATAAGTAAAAAAAATAGTGACGTTTTAATCTTCTAACACAAGCAATTATAAGGATGTAATGAGTGGGGCAACAAACGTTTTAATGTGTACTCAAATGTTCATTGACAAAAGCAGCTGCTCACTAAAAACTGCTTTTCCCAAAAAGCTGTCGGTCACAACTGGCATGGGAGGGTGACTATTGTATCATCTGTCTCCCATGTCACCACCCATCTTTTCCTCCCATGGGCTCACAAAAGCAAATTTCTCTGGGAAGTAGGGATCATGTATCCACTATGTGTGTGTTGTCCTTCATAACAAGTGTGTTCTGTTCATCACAAATAACAGTTGACACATCGTTGACACAATGTTTTTGCATTTGGACTGACCTATATATGTCGGGCCAGACAGTTAAAAATTTTTGTCAGCACTAACTGTAAATGTTTTATTACAAACTCATACAGGGTGCCAAAAATAACTAAATATACTGCTCGCAAAAGAAATGCAGGATAAATTACATGCAAAAATGCCCTTACCTTCTTTATCCTCTACCGCCAACTCTTCTTCTGTTCCATCAAGGTTTATTTTCTTCATTTTTCGCTGTCGGACCTTTGCTAGTCTAGCATCTAACAAGGCCTTCCTTTTCTGCTTTAACTTTTCCCGCTTAGTTCTCTGATCCATAGTCTGCAAGACAAAACGATCTTTTGCTCTTGCTACAACAGCAGTACATTGTCATTCTCAGAATTACTAAAGTGGAAGTAAGGTTCACAGGAAAAAGTCTTTACAGAGATGGAATGTATTCAGTATGTTTCGATACACAAGTAGAATTTAAACGTGTGGCAGAAAAAGTCACTATGGTATTTCAAGATTGCTAAATTCCATCCATCAGGGATCTCCAATCCTTCTCCTGGAGAGCTCCAGTCAAGCAAAGATTTGTAGATCATAATTAAATCATCAGCATTGCCTTTGTGATTAACTAACCAGATGGCTTGTTATATTAATCATAATTAGCACTCGCATATCAAGAGTCTTCTTTATTGTACAAAGTACTTGCTCAGTTCAACAGCTAACTGATGCTGCCCATCTTTAGAAGCAGGCGACCCATAACGAGACTGAGGCTCTACATGACCAGGGTTGAGGACCCCTGACACAGATTATAAGCTTCAAACATATGAAAATGATAATGGTACAGAGAATCACTGCATTTTGGAGTTTGTAGAGCTTTGTATATGACAAAAGTAAAAAAAAAGGATTTAAACCTGTTAAGGTTACACACCTGGTCTCTCAGCATGTCCAAAGTTTCCCTTTGCTTTGTTCGTAGAGCTTGATCTTGAGCAAAGGCAAAATAACCCACACCAAGCTCACGGGCCTCTGCGCAAAACACAGTAAACAAACATACACAAAAAAAAAAACCCCTCTACACAAAAACAAGTTCTTCCTTCAACACGGAAAACACACATTTTAGATAAGCACCTCTCTACAAACCTCTTGCTCATTCATTTCATGTCTTCAAGATAACATAAACCAGATGATGTTTCTCCAAATTACCAAATTCAAGAGACAGAACAGGTTTGTATGCTTTTTGCCCAGTAAATAACGTCCCTGCAGCTAAAACCAAACAATACAAACACGCAATGTCAAATGTTAAAAAAAAAATGCAAAGGCACCAAGAATGTAAGGATGCAATAAAAAGGACAAAAACAAAAGTATTTTTGCACAGCAGTTCATTAAATGCATCCACATCAAAGACAACTGTGATCATACCAAACAGCCTGATGTTTTAGTCACAGTAAATTGACACAGTTCACAGTTATGTTCATTTTTACAGATCCTCATTAAAACAATATTTTCATTGACACTTTTCCAAAACTTAAACTGACTAGATTTTCACTTTGAACTTTTAAAAATTACTTTACAGGAATCAGTGAAATCTTTGCCGGTGGACCCTGAAGAGATAAGAGAGATGCCCGGGAAGTGAGATAATAATATCATTGCTTGTTTTTGTATTTTTTTTTGCAAACTATGCAGTCTAGTGGCTTGAAGTAGGCCTTGTGCTCAAATATATATAAAGATGCTGCCTGTCCTTGGTCAGGAAGATAAAGGGCATGTATTTGGTAAGCTGGCTGTATGCCCAGAACATGAAAAGAACTAACTGTTGTTTAGTCTGCAACTTACTGTAGATATAATTAATTGGCATGTGTTGCAGTCTTATCATTTGTTTAGAATGTGTCATAGTAACTCTTTTTGTTTTAAGGTATAAAGGACCATCTTCAGCTACTTATATTTTAAGTCTGGTGGTTGCAAGCCGGACTTCCATATGCATATGTAATAAAGGGACTTCTGCTTCACAGACACCTGAACTTTGTCATTTGTATGACACAACAACACTCCTCCGCAACTGACGTGGAAATTCACTGTAAGCAGTCTGCTCCCTTCGAGCCCAGGTCGGTGATGTTGGTTGTTACCTTTCTCCCGGATGTCTTCATAGTGCACTGGGCCCACGGGTCTGTTCATGGCTTCCTCTTCCTCTCTTTCCCACTCCCTGCGCTGCAGCTCCCGGCGCATGTCCTCCGACAGCAAGGTCTTCTCTTCAGGCCCGCTTCTGTGGGGGCAAGGAGGCACTGTCATCAGTGTGAGAGATCGCTGGAGTTAAGAGTCAGGCTCAGCCCAGATTAACCTTAGCTGTCCTTCCACCTATTTTTCCCCACTGTTTGCTCCTGATGAGGGTCGCAGTGGAGGGCAGACCAGGCTTCCCTTCCCTAGCAACGGTCTCCAGCACCTCTTTGGGGACTTCCAGGTGTTCCCAGGCCAGCTGAGAGATAGGATTCCTCCAGTGTGTCCAGGGCTGGCCGGGGGTTCTCTTCCCAGTGGGCTGTGCCTAGTATACCTCCAGCAGGAAACACCTGGGGAACATCCTCACCAGATACCTAAACCTTTCAATCCAGAGGAGCAGTGACTCTACTCCAAGGAAAAGAGCAGGATAAAAATATCTAAATGTAATGGAAGCTTTTTTAAAATTTATGCTGCTAACATGCATAAAATATTCTGAGTGATTTGTCTCCATAAGTACAGACGGTTTTAAAATGCCTTCTGTATTTAGATGGTGCCATTGTATTTTTTCCTTGTTGGCAAAACCTTTCTTGAAAGACCTGAATCTTCATAAACACATTTTTCAGTGTAAACCTATAACTTCAATATAGACTAAGGGCAATCTTCCCTTAAAATGATAGAATAAGGTATTCTATAAAACAACCTCTGCCCCAATAACTTATTTTAGGCAGGACTAAACTAAGAAGGGGGCAAAACATTGCTCAAACACAACTTCACTCTTTCTCTACCTTTTTCCCTGTAGATCTCTGTCCATTTGCATAAATCCAGGCAAGTCCTTCTTCATGCATCTTCTTGATCGTCCCAGACCATCAACATAGTCCACCCTGGAAAAACAAGACAAAAGTACATTATTAGAAGCCAGACACAAAAGTTACGTATTGACCGTCTTCATTAGGTGTTGAACCTATCAGAAAGAAAACATTTGCAGTGATAATGGACACAACTGTGACAGGAACTTAAAAAAAACAGTAGATACAAGCCTTCTCCTTCACAATGAAGTTGGTTGAGGTTCACAATTAGAACGTTATTTGTTTTCTTGATGCGATTAGAGATTGGAGAAATTCTCCATTTACAGTTTGCTTTGTTGCTTAAAAGAAATGTTGTTGCTTTTCCCCCCCCATATGAATCTTAGACTTAAAGCTGCTTCAAACCACTTCATTTAATTGCAGCGGCACGCTCTACCATTCTTCATCTGGGTTTCCAGGAGGTGGAAGTGGAGTGTCGGCTTCAGAGCTCTCTTCTCCATTCATATCCCTGGACCTCTCTGCTGCCTCTTTCACACACTGGGCTTGCACCTCCTTCTTCTGGTCAATGATCTTTTGGGTGAAATCCACCAGGAACAAGCTTTCTGTTTCTTCATCTGATGGAATGAAAATTAGGCCAAAGCCAATAGAGGTAAAACACAAAATTCAGATATAAAAGAAAACCATATGTATAACTTTAATCAAGGGGATAACCCCTGTCTTCTGTTTCTCACCTGGAAAGTCTCCTTTAGTCATCTGCTCGTACAGCTTAGCTTTCTCTTCAAGTTTGCGTCTGTTAAAAGTAAACCAAAAAAAAACTGTGATGAAGTAAATATGAAAAGAAAAAAACAGGTCCTTGCAATCAAAGCTATTTTCTTTCACTCTAACCCTACCAAAAACAACTGCATGCTTATGAATTCTTTGGAGTCTAAACGGTTGAATTTGGAAGAAATGTAAAAAACAATAGTACTTTTTTCCCCTATATCTGAATGAAGCAAGTTAAGAAAGTTACAAAGTGCCATTTAAACATTTCAAACCATCTTAATGGAAACCATTTGCGAATGCCATGCTCCAGTTTAAACATTTGATCAGGTATGTGTTCACAAGAAGAGGAAGATCCATTCAACCACATTACACAGCAGTTCTCATGACTCAACAGGGGATGCCCATACTTTGCCTCGTCCAGAGTTTTCTTCTCTTCACTCATTTGCTCCACATCTTTCTGTGCTCTGGCTGCAACCCCTTCATTCGGTTTACTCCAAATACCAGGTTTCTACAATACATAACACACAGAATAACTTAACAACAAAAACTGAGAACTTACTTAACCGCACAATGAAAATTCTTGAGAAAGATATTTAAACATATTAAAATGAACATAGTCTAAAGTAGGCAGTATCCCAGCTGTAAATTGAAACTAGAAACTTGCTTTCTGTATTTTTCCTAAACAAAAACCTAAATAATCTAGAGACATGTATATGACAATTCCTATATATGTTGGTCTACAACATATTTATTGCTCTGGTTGTTATTATTTATTATCATGGAAATGTACTGCCTACATTGTGTGTTGTTGTCTGTTGTACTGTGTCATCTCCTGTACTGTGTACGATCCGAGAGATAAGCATGAATAAGAATTTAAATCTACATGTAGATAAGGCATTAAACTGCTACCTTTGCTTTAGATAGTCTATACCAAAGGCATAAATCTTAGAAGTTACTACATTGTAGTACTTTGGCAAATGAAAATTGAAAAATTGGTGTTAGGCCTAGCTGGAAGTTACAACAAGCATGTACCTTATTAATAGGTTTTGGTTTCAGTGGGACACCTGCATCTTTTACTAATTTTTCCTGTTTAAATTCCTCTTGCTTTCTGTAGAGTTCAGCTTTTAGGTCAACCAACTGGAATGGGGAGAAGAAAAGAACAGTGGTTAGTATCAGAACCTTTCAAAAGAGCAGTTATAATATACATTTTAAGTACTCAACTATTTATTATCTAAACAAAAGACGAGAGAGCAAAAAACGTAAATACTAGAACTCCTTGTTTTAATCTAATATGTTAAAGTCCACAAAAACACGGTGTCATAGTAGTTAAAGCATCGGTAATACAATTACCTTTTAATACAATACAATACTATACTTTTTTCAAACACACCAAAGCTTTACCAATACCGGAGGGGTGATTTCTCACAAACATTAATTCACTGAACTCAGTGTTGTCAAACACAAGATGCTCTACAAGTGCAACTGAATCCGTTCCAGATACAATACTAAAACAATCCGTTTTAATAAGAGCTTATTTGCAAATACCATACAAATACTTGTTTAGGAAGGAACATACCGAGGAAGCTGTCACGTCAAATGGCTTCTTCTTCTTATCCATTTTGAACAAATAAAATAAAACCAGCAGGAAACTAGACCGTAGTTCCTACTGCTTATCCACGATGTTGTTGGTGTTAAAGCGGTGCATCATGGGAAGCCAAATACTTCCGGTGGCGTGTATCTCACTCATTTCAAAACAGATTGATTTTCTCATTTCAACATATCTCATTTTATAATGATTTAGTAAAGTTCACAATGCTTTATCAAACCGTCCTTAAATAAATATATTATAATAATTTATTTTATGGATGTTTTCGTCTGAGCGGATTAGAGGTTGATCTTAAAAGCTGAATTGCGGTCTGAAATTGCTCTTCGTGATTTGGGGAATCTGGGCGTGTTTTGGATTGTCCGTAAGACATTCAAGCAAATATGCTAAAATATTCGTTTCGGTCGTTTCGTGTTTTGGATATTTTGAATTAATATTTTGAACATGTTTATTATTGTTTCTTCTACAGCCTTGGATGACGTCTTTCTATTCCCTTTCTTATTGCTGACTCAATTAATATGTATAAACTTTCTACAGTATTTCAAACCGTCCTTCGGCTATAAAGAGCCCTCGTCAGGTTGGGTGAGGTGAAATATCCGTAGTAAATAATATTTTGATAGCAGCATCAGAAACATTGAGAAGCATAGTCATTAGGGATCCACAACAAAAGGAATGAGGGAGTGAGGGAGGAAGATCTCTTTGCGTCTACTGTCCTTTTAGAAGTCCTGGTTTGCACATACTGCATCCTCCTTTGAGCAAAATCCAGCACTGCTCTCCTTATAAATGGACATTGTTTCTTCACCTGCAAAAACGGTTTTGTACTTCATTTCGCATTTTTAGATTACGGTGTTTAAGAGTTGCTGGATACGTGCGGTGATGTGTAGCAGTGTCCTTCTATTAATAACACCCACCGTATGTTCGTTTCTGTATTCTGATGGTTTTGTGATCAATGCAAGTAATTATGTTGATGACAATGTGCTAAAACACGGATAAATGAATTTTCCGAGAAAAAATGTTCTTTAATACATTATCTGCAACATTTTCAGAAGAATGTTTTATAAAGATTGAGATGCTCTTCAGTATTTTTGTATTATATGCACTTCTTTAAATATAAAGAACTGAATATTCGATTTTAAGGAGTTATTTTAAAAAGTCATTCGTTCTCACTTTCCCTTAAATACATTACTTGATTAAAGTATTTTTTAACAAACTAGGTAAAAGGTACGAATTCAAGTTTATGGGCATTGCGTTCTATTGTAGATTAAATATCTAAAACGATAACTGCGGTTTGGCAAACGAAAAGGAGGTGTTAAATTCCCCTTTTAAACAGTGACTGAAGAATTCTTTAGCGGGACAAATGCACACGTAGTGTTGTGGTGACCGTTATCTGTAGATAAAGGACGCGTCTGTCGTGAATGCATGTTTTTTTTTTAAATATATATAATGGACTTTTAATGTGGACTCACCAGGTGACAATGAAATGCAATATGCACATTTGTTACTGTGCGCTCAGCTATTTTATTAGGTGTGACATATTTGCATTGGTACATTTACTGTATAGTGAATTAAAGATTTTCTGGTACCATAAATACAATACATAGAATTGTTTACTTAAGAAGAAGAAGAACAAGATGAAAAGGAAGAACGCTCTATACAATAGCTCTTTTCGGGACACTCCACTCAAAGCGCTTTACAGGTAACAGCGATTCCCCTCCACCACCAACAATGTGTAGCCCACCTGAATTATGCACTCACACTCGCCATACACCAGCTATTGGTGGGGGAGAACAGAGTAATGAAGCCCTTTCTTAGATGGGGCTTATTAAGATGCATTGTCTGATAAAAGAGGGGAATTTGGCTAGGACACCAGGGTACCACCCCAGGAGTTTTAATGACCAAACAGTCTGCAATTTAGTTTTATATCTCATGTGAAGGATGGCACCTTTTTGTCCGGATACTGCTCCCATCACTATACTGGGACATTAGGACCCACATAGACTGCAGGGGAGCACCCCCTTACTGGTGGCTCCACTAACACCTCTTCTAGCAGCAACCTTAGTTTTTCCCAGGAGGTCTCCCATGCATTTACTGGCAAGACTCACACTTGCTTAGTTTCAGTAGGTTGCTAGTAGGGAGTTGCAGGGTGAAATAGCTGCCTTACATCTGTGATATTTTCAGAAAAAAAAAGTTAGTTTCTGCACAAATTGTCGATAACTGATTAACAGGAGTCATTAAAAGAGCCCCAGGATCCTCTCTAGTTTGATTAGATCCAAAGGGGCCACTGTATTGAGTCATTGTTAGATTCATAGAGTCCAGAATTCATCTGTTTTTAATGGAGATCAATTTGCTCCTGTACTGTTAATAAAGAGGCCCCCTGAGACCACCTGACAAAAAAGAAAATCAAGGATGTTTATTCCTTCAAATACTGAAAAAAATATGAGAAGTGTTTAATTTATTTTGATATGTAAACACATGTACTAGACATTTTTTAATAACTAATAATTTAGGTTACCTTTGGCCTACTGGTTCTTTGTGGTGCTTTAGGAATGCAATATCCATGATAACATGTAAACAATCCCCACATATACATAATATTATTTTACCACTATTCACATTTAAAGTAACCTTTATTTGCTTGGACAATAATGCTATCACTACAGGGTTCCTGGATATTTCACAATGGCACCACTTTGATGTGTTCCAAACATTTGCTATGGTTTTTGAAATGCACAAAGCAAATAAGCAAAAGTATAAAACAGCTTTCTATAAAGAAATGTTAAATCAGGAAAAAAGACAAGGACCAGAGGATATCAAGGTAGGCAATATGGACTATGATTTCTATCCAAATGTGAAATAGCAATGACAAGAAAATGATGCACATTGATTATTTAAAGTTTGTATTTCAGAAGATTTGAGTCATTAGATTACAGGGCAGATTAATAAAACACTTATCCTCTATCTATTTTGAAGTTATAAATATGTGAAATGGTACGTTAAGGAAGTTGCTTTAAAATTCAATGAACTTTTTTATTGTTCTTTGCTGTTCTAAAGAAATCCAGACTTGTTTTGGATTTCATTTTTGTTTTGTAATCTCTCTCCTGCATACTACAAAATAATGGTATTAATTAGAAGCTGCCAGTATTAAAGGCTAAAATGCATTATCTATTAACCTTGAATAGTTTTCCACTTCATAATGTACTGTATCCCACATAAACTCCTTGAGTCTGTCTTATTGGAGCCATTTTAAATTAGGAAATTTGGTTATGTACAATATGCAGAAAAGAAAAATAAATACATGTAGAATTGTAATACAAGGTGGCATAGTGGTAATCATTGCTGCCATGCAGTGCAGGGGCCCTAGGTTAATTTCCAAACCTGAGTGCTATCTACAGTATGTGGAGTTTGTATGTCTGTGTACACATGGATTTCATCTGGGTGCTCCAGTTTCCTCCCATGGTCCAAAAACATAAAAGTAGGTTAACTGGCTTCTGGGAAAATTGGCTCTAGGTGTGAGTGTGTGTGTCGCTGTGGTTGTGTCTGTGCGTCTGTTCTGCGATGGACTAGCGTCCTGTCCAGGTTTGTGTTATTGCTTGTTGGGACAGGCTCTGGCTCCCCAGTGACCCTCAACTGGAAGAAGTGGTTAGAAAATGGGTGGTTTGACGGATGGAGGTATACAGTAACTACCACATAAACATTCAGTGCAACTGAACATACTTTAGGACATCAGTTTTCAGCTTCTGATTTAATGTTATAATACAAAAACAGTGTTTATAGAGTATCAATTAACGGCAGCTTTGAATCATTATATCACAATGGATAAAGATTTTGAATTTATTGTCGGAAAGGGTCAATGAAATTATACATTTTTTTAGATACCAGCAAAAGGAAAATGTAGACTGAAGAATGTTGTTTCTTTTTAAAATATAAATTGTATTTTTATTTGGTATGGTCCCCGTTAATTATTCTTTTTTATTTTACCTTTGTAAAGGCGAGATCTCCAAACTTTCACAATGCTGCTTAAAATGTCAGTCTCCGTATTCCTCCTGATCTGCATCTTGGTATCCGCAGTGGAAGATGTAGGAGCTGGGTCCAGCTTCCTCAGCCCTTCTCAAAAACCCCAGGTAGGGATAACATTGACCAACCCCATCCCACACTCAGGCTCTGTCTCAAGACGTGTTAAAGCATACTCTAATGAAATACCTGTTTGCTGTCCTACACTTCAGAGTTGGCTCTGTTTTTGCTCATGACCAGCAGAGTGCTTTGCTTCTCTAACTTTCACATTATGTATTCAATTTTTCAACAACACCAAAATTGTTAAAAACCTGATATAGATGACTCAGCCTAAACAAAAAGTGCAGGAAAAAGCAAAATCTGTTTTTTTAAACAACATAATATAACACTTCTTATCCACTGGCACTATTAAATTTAAACTAGTCAAGTTCACAGATAATACCAAATAGGGTTAGCAAATACTTAAAAAGTGGACAAAAATGTTCAAAAGGTAAAAAATCCGGACTGGGCGAACACCTGGAAACCAACATATAATTAACTACAAAGTACTGCATTTTGGAAGATAAAACGAAATGTTACAAAAATATAAATATGAAGTGGGAAACACCTAACTTAAAGAGCATAAAAAGGTTTGTCTTGTTGATGTTGACATACTGTACAATATCATTTTCATTTTCTAAACATTTTGGGGAAACTATTAAAAAAACGTTAACAGAATTCTAGGATATGGTTAAATGTGTAGTAATGCAATAGTACATTCAATTATACTACATTTATATTATACTACAATACTGCATTCATAATACGGCATTCAATTTTGGTCAGCACGTGGCGAAATAAATATTCTTGCAAGTGACCAGATACAGTACATTACCAGGCTTAAAAGATTAACCCAGATTGAAAGGCTGAAAGAACTACATATTTTTTCATCTTGAACAGTGAAGACTACAAAGGGACCAAATTAAAATATTTAAAATCCTCAACATCAAACCAACAGATTTCTTCAGTGAAACAAACCAGAGAACAGAAGTGAAAGGGGGGGGAGAATTTCAATAACATTGAAAACTGGAGGACCTTTTCGACCAAGGCTTGTGTGAGTCTGCAACAAGCTACCTAAACTGTGTTGTCACAGCTGAACCCCAGGATACTTTCAAGAAACGGCTGGATGAGATCAACAGATCAATTACTGGGCCAAGTGGCCACCTCTTGACTGTAAACTTTCTTATGTGTAAGATATTTGGATCCCCACAGGCAAAGCCAGTAAGGAAGCCTATTAACAACAAAGTGGGCCGTCGCGATTCAGAGGCTGCTATGGATATTCTGGAAAGCCAGCTATATGAAGAGGAAGACAGCAAGGAAATAATGGTCAGTATTCCTTTGACTTTTCCTACTTTTTATTGCTGTAAAAATAATTCAATTGAAAATTCTTGTAAGACCACTTAATAATTACTATGGATGAGAATTACATACAGTGGGTGCATCATATGGGTTAGAATAATCTGTAGATGATACAGTTTGTCAGAAACAGCATTTGGTTGACTGGGTTAGAATTAAGGTCAAACTCTCAAGTAAGTTTATTATGTGTGTGCGCACTATATCATTATTTTGTTCAGTTGCAATCTGAGAGGTATGACCTAATGTGATATAAAAGATAGGCAAAAAATTAAAGCATTTGACAACAAGAAAAAGAGGACTGCATTTTAATATACAGTACAGTATAACTTCAAATGCATTTTGTAAAAGTAGACAGTGCGCTATTTTTCTATAACACTACAAACTGTAGTTTTATCTAGTGATTAATTTACTAGAGTAAGCTGAAAAATATTGTATAGAATTCTCCAAAGTAATTTGAAATAAATTAAAATTGCACCTGAACATGATACAAGTCACCCAAATGTGAAGGTACGTGTTCTTACACATTACAGTTCCACACACCTTTCCAAATTGGAATTGCAATGTCAGAAGCTGAATACCAGGAGTATGGACATGTATTGCAAAGAATCATGGAGGGCATACTTGCAGATAATGCAACAGGTGAGCAAGCTTTGAGATAAGTGGGAAGCCAAAGTTAACTGGTTAAAATGACATTATCTTTGTAATGCTCATGGCTGCATTAGAAAGGAGGAAATCTTTATAGCGGAGACCCTGTGCAGTAATCTGGAGAAAAAAAATGAATATTTTCACTTCACTTCACTTACCCCACTCAAAGGAGTATGTTAACATATCCCTTCTGTTTTGTTTCTTGTTAATTTTTCCTTCTTCTCTAATCTTGTTCCTCCTGAAATTATTATTCATGCAAATAAAATATTTATAGAGAAAACATTTTGGAAAAAGACATAAGGAGGTTTAGTGCACACCAGCAGCATTCTGTAACTGATATTAATTTACTTTCCACTTTACATTGTTAGAAATGTCTAATTTTGTTTTGCTGGATTAGATTATGCGGGAGGTGTATCTTAATAAATAAGAAAGTTCAACCACATACACAGAATATCTACAGTGTAAGAATATGGGTTCAGAGGGTCTATGTAAAACCTGTTTTTTACAGTATCTTTCTAAAACATTAATTTCCCTCCTGGTAAAACCGAGTCAATTTTTTTTATCTTTATGTAAATAATGCATTTCTTTCTATATATTTCAGAATAACTGCTTTTGAGGACTTTGCCACAACTGGATTTCCATTCCTCATACTTTTCTGAGCAGATAATATGGAATTGCTATTTTGTGTTTAAATGTCATTCAGCTAAAAAAATGAATAAAAATGCTTAATCAATATTTGGCATCTCAATTTCTTAATAACTGAAGTTCGAGATTTTAATAAGAGCACCAGCTGCAAGCAATCAAGATAAATTCAAACTTGCCCCCCTGAGGAACTGAATTAAGCATTAATTTTAGGTTAAGGATGAAATAGCTTTGGAGTTTCCAGATGGGTTTCAGTGGACTCTTATCTGTATTCATCAGCATCCAATATGATAATGGAAAACTACAGATGAGAAACAAAATAACAACAATATTATACTGTACTGTATACACGGTACACAGTATATCAGAAGACTGGACCCTTAGGAAGTACTTTATACAGTATACTTCTATTGTCTACGGTTGTCCTAAGTGCCTTACAGTATATTTTCATTCATTTATGTGGCTGGCTATTTTATTGGAGCAATTCAAGTGAAATACCTTGCTCAAGATGACAATAGCAGTGTATCACTTGGGATTTAAACCTTTAACCTTCCTGTTACAAATCCAGAACCCTAACCTACTGTATACACTGCTGCCCTATCACATCTGAGGTGAACAGGAAATCAAAGTGCAGTGGAAAAGTAACCACATTATCCAGATCTACAGTAACACTACTAGACTTTTTCCCTACTGGGATCCCTGAAAGCTGTGGTTAATAGCCCAAAACCAAACAGTATTAGATCACCAAAGGAAAACATTTTATATGCATGTTCTTGGACCAATGTGTACATCTTAAGAAACATTAAAGATGCCTACAGTCCAAAAACATTAAGGTTAATTGGCTTCTGGAAAATTGGCACTGGTGTGAGAGTGAGTGGATCTGTGTCTGCCTCCTCACAACCCTGTATTGGATAAAGTGGTTAGAAAATGGATGGAAGAATGAATATTCCTGATGGACCAGACTTTTGATACATCTTATACATGTCTGTTAATCAATTCTGGAAACATTCCTGATTTTCACCACGAGAGGTAGAGGTAGCTCATACTGTAAGTCAACAATGGCACAGGATATTTGCTGATGCCAAGAAAAAACCAGAAGACAATGTCCAGTAGTGTTTTACAATACTATGTCAAAACAAATTCCATGCAACTTAATTACAAATAGCAAACTGCAGCTGTAATAACTTTTTGGCTTCACAACTTGAGGAATAAGGGTTAATTACCGCAGTACTATACCTCTGAGCTGGGTTGGCACCCTCTGATGATCCTACAGTACATGAGGAGTTCTGAAACATCTCACACAAGTTTTTAAAAAAATCCACGTTTTTAATGGACTCACGTTGAATGGAAGCCTTATGTTTTTTTTTTCCATTCACACAGCTCTTTGCTATTGAATACATTTAAAAAATCCATTCTTGTTACATCCAATATGGCTTTTTGAATCCCCTCGCTAATGATGTTAGATATGTGTCTGTCAATATACTGTACTTCCTGAGCTTCTCTGCAAATGCACTGATAACAACACAATTTGGTTGGATGAACTCTTCATTCAGATTGCCAATACGTGTGAAAAGCTGCCTGCTCTTTCATCTCAACAAAACAACTCTTAATAAAGAGTGATATAAAAATAACATTATGTGGATACATGGCAGATGTTTGAAGCTATAAAACCCAGGCTGATAGGAGAAAAGATTGATGGGAAGAAATAAAGCATCGATGAGTCAGCTTTATGGAGAAATGATTAAATGCACCCTAAAAAACAGAGCATCAAAATGAAAATAAAATCAAAGTTTTCTTGGCATCTACAATAAAACAAGAAACTTTATTTCACTAAATGTCAGATGGAATATAATGGTAGCATTTAAGAGTGTTTTTCTACTTGTTTACAGGTGCTGTGATAGCAATAAATCTAAATATGAAGTTAGATGTTTTGTGGTTTTTAAACAATTATGGAAAAAATAGTGTTTACAAAGGCTTGCATAAGTGCTCAGTTTACTCTAAAAAGGTATCACTGATAAGTACACTTAATATTCATTAAACTAAATGAACTAGTGTTGAGTAATTTTGTATAACATTGTTATACTGTACAGTCGGATGCATGTGAAGTTACAGACAATGCTATTGCCTGTAACTTCACATGCATCCAACTGTACAGTGTCAGAATTGAATTGCATTACTTTAATCTTTATAAAGCAGAAGATTATAAATTAACAACAAGGTAAATGTCACTAAACATGTTAAATACAATACATAAAATGGACATTAAAGAACAAATGAACCATAAGTCTTAAGAGAAAATAAATGAGAAGCTAACCTTTTTAATAGCATACAGTCACAAGGCTAAGTTAAAAAAGCCCACCATACATCTTCCCATACTGATATCCTAAACACTATATTTGGCAAGAACATTGAAAACCAAAAGCAAGTGCTATTCCATCTACTTAATGAGGTAAGAGTTTTGTGGATAAAAGGGGAAAACAATATACACCACCCAATCAATATCATAGTATAAGCATACATTTTCACCCTGATACTTCCCCGTATATGGAATCTATACAAACTGTTTGGGATCTCATCGCACTAGTTCAACGCATAGGAGAACAAGGGCCTGAAAACATGTACGTAGAAATCAGGAGGTAATGTATTACGATAGAATTGATCTTCCCACCTTGGACTTTCAAGCCTGGCAATTGAAGCAGACTCAGTGTTTATTAGAATATGAGAAAAAAAATAATTATGACTTGGAATGATTAGCTCCTCTCAGTCAAGTGAGTAGGATGCCAATTCCAGTACAGGGAAGCGACGCACTCCCAGTTCCCACAGTGCCTGGTGCTCCAGTTGTTCCCAATCTACCAAAAACAAGCAAAATCTCTATATAAACCTCTACATTCCAGTGACTCCATTATATTGTTTATCATATAATGGCTCCATAAGGGTGTTTTAACAGCCCATTATGGATGCTGAAAATCAAATAATTACACTCTCATCAAAGTTTGGTCACTACAGAATTCTTTCAATATGCCTACAAATATGTAGTATGGTTTGGGTTCCTTACGTCAAAAAACTGGATGAAAGCATAGTGTGTTTTGAATTTGGTATGGAGAATTGCTGGCAACAGTTTCTAAAATGTTATTGTAATAAAACAAAACCTTCCTTTTAGAAGGCTACGTCAAGATGCATGTGTAATTCTGATTTTTTTTCTCACAAATTAAATCCAAATTTGAAATACAAATTGCAATTTCTATAAACACTCTCTTATATTATGATACAAAGCACTTCCAACACAGTTTAAGACGAATTAAAGATATTTTGTGTATTGTTTTCACTCAATGTGTATTTTCCTCATTTCTTATTTACCAAGTGCAGTTTCATGCAAATCACCTACAGTAATTATAAATAATGGACAAACAATTTGGATTTGGCAAATCTCAGAAATAAAAGAACAATAATCAACAATTCAAGAAATGAAAGAAATACTTCTTTATCACAGCACAGACAAAACCACAAAAGACAGGACATAAATACAGATGTCAAATCCACCGATTTACATGTACAGTACCTGCACCTATAACTCTTCACACTATCTTATAAAGTCAGAAATCTTAATCTCCATTAACAAAAGATGAAACAGTGTTTCTTAAACATAGAAGACATACTGTTCTCAAACTGTATATGCTAAAAAAACGTATTGAATTAGTGAATCCACCTGTTGTCAATTTTCAAATCTTTAACTATTAAATAAACTGCCTTTATTTTTAAGTGTGTTTTTTTTTTTGCTTTAATGACATGTGTACAAAGTAAAAATAGTAAAAATGCTCAATCATCCAAACATTAAAAAAAATGTAAAGGATTACCTTATAGATCACATACCGTACTGTATAAACCATTCTAATTATAATAATGTATATTAAAAAAAAACCTCTTCCAACAGTTTATAGATAGACATTGAAAAGGAACATTTGCATTGGATGTTTTATAAAAATAGATATTACCACAGTTGTTTTGCACAGTTGTAAAAGGATATAGAAAAATACAGTTTGATGTTTGTCTAGCAACTCAGTGATTAGCTTGAAGCTCTACAAGCCATATAGGTTGTCTGTGTTCTGCCTCAGGGTGTACAGTACTTCAGACAGCCGCTGTGCCTTCAAGATGCTGATTTCCTTCACCGTATATATGGCAAGGCCTGGGTGAGAAAACTTGCACACACTTTTTAGCACCTGAAAAGATACAGAACATATGAATAAGGAATGGCAATTATTTTTGGATCTATTTAACTGATCTACACAAGTTCATTAACAGAGTTAATTGTTCCATTGAATGCATTTATTATTAACAGTAATAAATTAAGCAATCACAAGAGGAAAAAACGCAGGCTATAATTTGTTATGAAACTATTCTGGTCTGATTCATAACCAAGTCTTTGGCTTTGTCTTACTGTGTTAATAAAAAAAGTGTAGGGTCTGTCACCAGCGTAAAAATCTAGGTTACAGTATGTCTACTAATCCAATTTTACAGCTCTACTAAAAATGAAATAAAAATAAATGACAATGACATCCAGTTCATTCATTGGAAAACACAATACGGTAGCTTACGTTTGTGATGGAAGTGAATCTACAGTAATTCCAATCTTTCCAATCAATTAGCAAACTAATTATGCTTTTTGAAGAAAAATAAACACATGGTGAAGTGCCAAAAGGAAAGGCAATAAAGAATTCCATAAACCTACAGAAAATTACAATAAAACTCTTTCTTGGAAAGTCATGACAGTTGATGAATGAAATACCTGTTGAGGACGGAAATAAGGGGCATCTGTCTCCACCACGATTCTGTCCAGAGGAATCTTTCTCACAGCTTCCTTTGGCTTGACAGCGGTTGGATAGGTGAGGACAGCAGTAAAGCCCACAGACATATTTGGAAATTCTTTGAGAAAGGGCTCAATCACCTCATAGCTGTCCGTAAAGCAGTGCCTGGCTCAGGGGGAAAAAAATCAGGAGGTCCTACACTTTCTTCAATTGGCATCAGAAAGAAACAGCACCATTTTAAAATAATTGGGTTTTGGTACTGTATGAATACGATTTACTGTAGCTCTTTCTTCAATGCTACAGGAGACAGAACTCTCTTTTCATTTTGCCTTTTTGCTCGTATAAAGTTGAAAGTAACAGACATGACTGCTTCTCGCTTATCAAGACTGATGAGTCAAAATTAAATTACCTGAGCTCCCCTCATGTGGAAATAATTGATGCATTTCAATTTGTCTTACGAGAATGGGGGTACTCCCTCCTCCGCATAACACATTAATCTTTCCATCTTTAACTCTATTCCACCAAATATTCTGAGATGAATAATTTGATGAGTTTTGCAAGGCAAAGAGCTGACTTTTCCAGTGTGATAACAAATACCTTACCACGACACAAAAATGTTTATGGATTCAAAACCATTGCAGTCTTACCACCGTAAAAATGAGATGAGATATGCAGTGTATGTTTGACATAGCTCACCTAGCTGAGGAAACTTTGGCTGCCTCACCAAAAAAAACAAGTGAGCAGGAGTACAAAGATAGGATCTAACCTTCCTCTCAAATTTCTATTATAACTTTGTTATAATTACATTATGTGTTTCAATACAAAAGATATTCTCTGTTACAACCTTTGGATATAATTTATATTATATCCCACACAAACTGCTGTACAGAAAGCCTTGGCCTGGTTTTATAGTAAGTGTATACCTGTATAAATGCATTCAATAATGGTTTTTTTTCCCTACTGCCAGGGCTGGGCTACTTAAGTTTTTGACAATAAGGTACTTTTAACTAAAAGCTGATTAAGATGTAAAACTGGGTATTCTGACTTGTGATAAAAAATCTAGTTCAATTTAAGCAGCTAAGGTTAGAGACCTCCAGAGGACTAAAATTGCCCATTCCTGCCTACTATATGAATATAAATAATTGGTTTTCCTACCTGTGTATTTTATAATCTCGAGGCACCATCTTCTTCATAATGTCAAACAAATCCTCATCAGCACCTCTGCAGTGCACTACAAGTGGCCTCCTTATTGCAACAGCCAAGCGCAACTGTCTCTCAAAAACCTATAAAAAAAAAGCATCCTACAGTACATAATGTAATAAAATACCTTATCCTTTTTTACAGTATGTTCCAAAACAAAACTGTATCAGAAGGTAAAGTGACTTATCACCTAGCATTATATGAAAAGTATGAGTTTTTTTTCTCAATGACCAGGAACATTTTAATCTGTTTTTCTTTGCTATTAAAACAGATGCGATGGATGTTTTCACAGATGCACAAAAAAATCAGTTGAGGAAGATTTGGACTCCACACAATGGTTTAATAATTACAGTACAAGTTATAAAGTCTTTAAAGTTAAAATAATAAATATTCTATTTTATACATGGATGGAAGCACAATTTGCTTCAGATAAAAATAAGCACAATATTAAGAATATTCTGTCAGCTATGAAGACCATTATACTTTCTGTCGGTGAAATCCTCTACCTGTACCATTTTGCACTCACTGTACCTGTTTCTGTCTGGAGACCTCCGTAGTGCACTTGTAAGAGTAATCCAGCCCTATCTCACCAAACGCAACAGCTTTTGGGTGCCGCATTGCATTCAGAATGATTCTTTCTTGGGCGTCTGTGTAATAACGAGCAAAGTGTGGGTGGCAACCAAACGCCCCCCAGACCTTATCTTCCCCCAGCAGATCCTCCCACAATGGCTGCATGCTCATGATGCCTGGATTGCAGAAGTCAGTGATGCAGCCTTCAAACTCCGCAGGGAAAGAGTTCTCATGCAGATTCCGAAAACGAGCAAAAGTTCCTTTGAAATTCAACTTTCTGTAGAGCATGTCAAGATGACAGTGAGTATCAATAAAGCCAGACTGCACAAGCTTTTTATTAGCAAAATCAAAAGAATCCCCTTGTTTGGCGCCCATGGACACTTGTCTACTGCTTTTGTCTGGAAAAACATGTAAGGCTTCAGTACAGTAAACGTCCTCTGTGCCTGAATATTTTATGGGCTTACTGCCAGTGGAATCCAAAGGCTCTGAACAGCTTTTGAAGAATCTCAAGGGGCTTACTTGGGTGTACACTGGTGCAGTAAAGGGCTCAAAGAATCGATCAGGCTTGGCAACTACTCCATTATGGTTCAAATCACTTTCAGGGTTAAACAATGCAGATCCAAAGTGCAACTGATCGATTCTGCAGGAGTCTCTCTCAGTGTGACAGGGTGATGATGGAGGATGGGCTGCATACTCTAGCAGTGATAGTGGATCATGAAAGATAGGTTTCTCCAGCTCATCTGCTGCAGCACTGTCCTCTTCCTGGGAGGTCACTGCCTTGACCACATCCTCTGCATTCGACAAGTCTGCCTCCGTAGGCTCATCTTTTTTCAGAACAATGAACTGGAGAGATGAGGTAAAATTCAAGTTGGAGGTTACAGAACACTATCACAAACACAACTTAATCTATGTGTAGCAGTTTATTTGGAAGGCTGGTCAATATATATAGTACGTTAACCTGATAAATTATGACTTTGTCAACTCATCAATCTAAAACATAAAAAGTAAAATAGCTGTGTGCTAATATATCGAGTACAGGTATAAAATGAGACATTTACTATTTCACTATTTACCAAGTCCCATGAGTAAACGCTATATATAATAAGCATCCTTAGATTTAATGTATATTTCATAAATGAAAACATATGTGAAAAACACAAAAAGCTAGAAATTATGAAAAGAAGATGAGCTGCTCTTAATTTCATCTCTTCATTGAGGCACTGTCTTTTATACACAACGGTGGTGAGTTTCATCTCTGAACCTTTCTTATTTTTAACTGCTCCACTCAGCCAGTTTAACCTCCAGTGTATTTTATTTCTAATATTTTTGCTGTTTTTATCCACCACAGATAGGTTGGAACTCAGCCAAAAAGGTTCACTTCTACAAAAAGGCCACAGATGAGAAGAGGCCTTCGGTGTTTCAACAGACCCACTGCCAGTACTAGAACAAACCCCAATGTATGAATTCCCCTGTAATCCTAATGAAAACTGACAATGTAAAGCAAGCAATTGAAGCTAACCTGACTATCCTAGCGAGGCAGAAGAAAACTGAAGCACCCGTTGAAAATACACATTAACACAGGCAGAACACTTAAAATCCACACAAACACATGCTACAATCTGGAATCAAAACCAGGACCTGGAAAGCTGCAGTTAACCACTCCAGCACTTTGCTGTCTAATTTTATATTTTGGCATAAAACAGCCTAGTGTATAGTGTAGGTCTGTTTACAGGTCTTAATCATTTTAAGCACTGAATACTTAAAAATATGTATTACTATATAAAGGGAGGCATCCAGGTGGTGACGAAATGCTGAAAAACATGAACTTCAATTAGAATGTAGTTAAATAATGTTATCCCAGCAGTGAGATGCACATGGAAGCAAATTAGTAATGTTTTTTATGTACTGCTCACATCACCATATACTTACCCTTCTGTTTCCTCCTTTCACCATGGCCTTATCCTCACAATCTGTCTCGCTGAATGCAATACAAGACAGTGTTTTTTCCTCACTTTCCTCTATTTCCGGTTCAGGAGGCCTTCCTTGAAGAAAAGAATGGCTGCTCCACTCAGAGGACCCTGCATCTCCCAATTTCAAGAGCAATATCTTCTTCCTGCTGTCTGACAAAATCCTTTGCTTCCCTATCTTCTTATGGATATCTGTCCCAAAGGCAGCAGAAAGAGCTCTAAGGTATATGATTTTTGAAGCCTCCTCTGGAGATCTGTTGGTCTCCTTGCTTCTACGAGGCGGAAGCGTTATGTCTCTCTTCACTGAGAAGGTCAGTGTGGAAGGCTTGTCCTGGCATGCTCTTTCTGGGTTTTCTGTCTGAAAGAAAAGGATATCACATTGAAATGGGTGTTAAAGAGAAGAAAATGTATGGAGGAGAAAATGTAAATAAGCATCCATACTCCAAGGATATGTACAAATATTTGTAGGAGATGGCTTGCCCCCAATTTCTATCATTGTGGCTGGCTGCGATTTGAAAAATAAAACATTCCAAAGATTCTCCTCTCTCATTCTGCATAAATATTCAAACTAGCTGGTTTTTATTTAATGCTGTTTTCAATAGCAGGCTATAGTACGGACGAGTAGCTATATCTTTGAATTCAGTTACATAAACAAGTAAAAATGTAAGTTTCTTTGGTTAAAATAATGATAACAAATACATAAATACCACAATATAGTATAAGTACTATAATAAAAATAACAGAAGTATTTAATAAATACTATAATGTAAATACTTAAATATACTGTACAGTAGTTACCAGAAAATATCTGATTCACACTTCCCCAGATTATGTAAAAGTATACATTTCTATAAATAGAATACCAAAGTATACTGATATTTTGAGTAATACCTTAAAAGGTTTTTTAATAAATAAAAAAAAATAACCTTTTCAGGATACTGATGCTTCTGGCTATTCTGTCTAAATGGCTTCCACAATTTGGTATGGTTGTTTGTGCTACTCAGAGAAAAGACACAGCTTTCTTCTTTATGAGTAGGTTCTGAGGTTGGTGCCAGTCTTGTGGTTTCCAAGCACATGTGCTCCGGCTGCGTGAAGCAAGCAGACGCTGAGGAGACATTCTGTGGAGAAAGAGGCCCTCCATGGGCAAAGGTCTCATCCTCACTCCAGAGTGCAGGCTGGCCCACACCTGTGTTACCCTTTTTGTATTTTACTGGTGAATGCATGTCTGATTTTAACTCCCAGGATTTCCGTTTCCTTCTGCTGGACTCCATTTTGAAGTTCCCTGAGAGGAATGATAAAAAAAAGGAGAAACGTAGTTTCTACAAGGTAAAAAAAAATCTTTCAGGATGACAATAAGCCAGATGGAGTTCTCAGTCACACGCTGGGAGATTTGGTAGATGTTTCTATATGCTTTGAGTCACGAAAAAAGTGCCTTTGAAAAACTGATTTTAAGAGGTGTATTGCACTGAATTAAATAAAGTCTTTGCTAAATAATAAGTCTACAGGTGTACAAATGTTCAGCCTTCTCTAAACTCTCATGAAAAAAGTCATAACCTCACCATAATCTCCCAGACTAAGAAAGATTTATAGTAATAGTGGTGTTTGAATAAGGCTGGACAAAAGCCTGATCTTAAGTGCTGTAAGGGAGCCTAATTAAAGCCTGAATAGTTTTGCTCCACTCTCTTTCCCTAACAACTATTAAAAATTGAATCGAGGGACTAATTTTATTCTGAATTAATTTTATTTTCATAATGTACTTTTAATAGTCTCTATTTTAAAAGGAAACACTTCATTAGCTATCCTGCTATCCCACCTGCTGCTTCTTGATACAGATCCCAGCCTAAAACTAAATAAAGGCTAAAACCTAACTGATGAAGGCAACTGTATAAGTATTTTAAAATAGACCGCAATCATTTACCCCAAGTTTGTAAACAGTTAACTAAATGATGAGAGGAAATTGTAGTTATAATGAAACCTGCGTTGAATGTTTTACCAATTTGTGATGAGCTGAGAAACAAAAATGAGAGCTGTAACAGCTCTCAATTAATAATAATGTAGTGTCTTAAACCCCATTATTTTATTTTTAATAGCTTCACTAACCTCTTCACAGTGAGGACTTTAAACTGAACCTACTGTATGATAGGCCTTGTTTTTGCAAACTTGCAAACAAATCTTAACCAACAACCAATGTACGGCCATCTGAGTCTATTGGATTTACGATTGTAAACATACTGTATACCACAAATTCTCAGTTGTTGTCGTAAGAAATTATCTAGCTTGACATTTAGATCGCCAACACATCCGGAATACGGTCACAAGATAAAACTGAAATCTATATACGGAGGAGCCAACATTTTATTTAATTATACGTTGCATTACGAATTCAAAAACGATGTACACCCAGCTACTGTATAATCATTCTATGTACCTAACGTTGTACGTTATGTGTATGCATTAGTGTATTATCATTACGTTTAAAATCAACTGAAAAAAACTTGTCAAAATAGCTGATAATCAGGCCCTCACCGCTCACTTGAAACATTTTAATGTGTTAAATTACTGGCGACACCACAACAAACTACAAAATCTGAGTAATTAGTAATATAAATGGCGATATATATAATATTTTTATAAAAATATTTAGAAATGTATCTCAACGCTTTTTTGAAAGCCAAACACCACCGGTTTTCAGTCTAACTCACCTGCAACTTCACCTGCTGCAGCTAGAACCCCACCTCCTCTTGCCATGAAGTTAATGACTCGGACCGGAACAACGTCAATTACTGGACTTAACCGAACATTTTCTTAAGTTCCTAAACAAACATAAGACATCAAAAACTTATTTACGCCGTAGACATTAATAGGCGCTTAGCTAATATAGCTGAGATTTTTGCCTGAACTTGTTTTACATACTGTATTGTACTGTATATACACAAAACAACACTATAATTATAGGGAACAAATTTGCAAAACATAAAAACTGTCATTAATGTTTGAACTAAATTTATATTTGATAAATTAAAATATAATGTATTACTTAATTGCAAAACTACTGAACGACCCTATGTAAATAACACGGTATAACGGTAATCATTAAAAATGCATCACCAGTATTCCACATTTTGTATATCACAGTTTTTAGTTACTACTTCAATGTATAAAAGCCCAATTTAAAAAAATATATATTTTATATTCTAAAGCTTCAGTTGTTTATATTGCTGTGGTTCCAAAATATATTGCTGCAGAACATGATTTCAGACAAGTTTCTTAAGACATTTAAATGTGTATAACCTGTAGATCTCAAGATTGTCTACTGGTGGAAATAAAACTCTCCCCATCGAAAAAAGGTGATCCAACAAACTCGCATCTGAATTGTTTCTTCCTTGCCAAAAGGCATTTGAAAGCAAATGACATTCTCTTTTATTTAGTGTCCAACATAATGAACTGCTTGCTGATTTATTTTCCTCTCAACCGTTTAGAATTATATAAATGTCTTTTAATGTATCAGACCAAGAAATACTTAACTGAAAGGGAGAGAAATCCAAACCTTGAGGTTCAGATGTCTGACCTTGAGATAAGGCATTGCTTGCACTCCCTCAGTCTTTTCGTAGTTCGTTTTCAAATAGTTGTAGTCTCCTAGGAAAATGCTGCCATTATATACTTATTGTAACTCTTCAGATACCGCTAATCACTGTGTGAGCCAGTAGTCTGTTGTCAACATCGCTGTTTCTCACAAAGAAGAAACAAGAGGAAAGGTCATGGGAAGGTATTTATCTTGAATTAAAAATATGTTCTATCAACTTAGAATTATAACTAAATTTTACAGTATAGTACAGTACATTATAAGTATACGGTAGAATATGGAAGTTATTGTAACTTTGAATGGAATATCAACACTGTCACACCTACATGCTTGTTTAGGTAGTTTTGAGGAACCTGGGCTGGATATTAAAGTTGCAACAGCTTTAAAGTGGCATTAACAATGAAATTATCTGGGCTTAGTTCTTGCTATTAGTTGTTAAAGTATATGTTTATTAATGCCTAAAAGCTGAAACAATAAGAAACATGCCAAGCTGTCCTCAGAAAAGGTTTTTTATTGCATTTGGCCCAGGACAAGTAATGTGTAAAATTAATTAGCACTTTCTCTTCCCATAATGCAAAGCCAAATCACTCATGCTCCATTGATCTGTATCGTTTAAAAAATATATATATTATTGATTAATGAGCAATAAGAACCACTTAAAAATGACATCTGTAGTCATTTTCTTTTTCTACTTTTTTTAATCTTGTTTTAACAAATACAAGCACATTTTACCCATCAACGTCTGCATTTCTGACACTTTATCTAAGTTATCTAAAACAATTAGAGCCTTTTCAACAAATGGCAATATTGTTCAATAAACTTGACTCCTTGGTTCACACAGCTGTTTAACAAATCCAAAGTGCCCTGTGCTTGTTTTATTGGACACCAAAAACTATAGTTAGAACAAATACATTTCAATTCATTTGTAGGTTCTTGGAGACCAATAGCATCCCTTCACTGAATTCATGCAAAATATTGTGTGATATTATCACCATACAGTCAATACGTTTGCCAGTAGTCTTGTTTCATGAAGCAAGTACTGTTGCTTTATCCAGTTTCAGTATATGCATGCCAGAATACTATTAAGTATTTCAGGTGGGTAGCTGCGTCAGCATGCATAGGCTGCAAAGGAACAAGTAATAGAGAAAACACAACGTTTCAGCTGTGGAGCCTTCTTTGGGTGTCATTCGAAGAAGGCTCCACAGCTGAAACGTTGTGTTTTCTTCCTTCTCTTTTCAGCATAGAATAAACCTATTACTTGTTCCTTTGCAGAATACTATTAGTATACACAGCACAAAATATCAAGTTTGAGGTCACGTGTCACTTGAAGAATTGCAATCTACCATTAATAAAATGAAATTGTCTCATTTTTTAAACACAAACTCATTTTAATGCAAAAAAGGAAAATTGAAAATGATCCAGAAACACCATTATAATTTCCATGTGCTGTTTAATTTATTGTTAATTATGGGATTCACAAAATAGTCTGCAGCCTTATTTTTCACTTTATTTTGTCCAAAATCACAACATTAACCCCTAATTTACTGTGATGGAAAAATATCGGTATATATACATTACAAGTAGGTAGCCGCATCAGCGTGCGTAGGCTGCAAAGGAAAAAGAAAAGGTTTATTGCATGCTGAAAAGAGAAGTTCTTACACCTGAAGAAGGCTCCACAGGTGTAATGTTGTGTTTCCTTTCTTCTATTTTCAGCATGGAATAAACCTTTACTTGTCTGTTTACATACTGTACATTATAGTTCAGAAGAAAAAGAAAGACCTGTTTTTGACCAAAATATAACAAATATGACTCATTTCACAAAACCAACATTGATAACCTGTTATATTTAAGTTTTAATATTTAATGTGCCATCTTCAGATTCTTGGCAATCCAAGTGCAGTCTTGTAGGCCCCAAAACTGTGTCTGTAACCTGAAACCAATGACAGCAGTTACTGACTGTACGGCAATACAAACAAGAGTAATGCAATCCTCTTGATTCTTGTTTTATCATATATATATCTACTTTTATATATTTTATTAGATCTTTACATTAGCTGGCCAATACATTAGGAACCCCCAGTCAAATAAAAAAATAATTTATTGACGCACAGTGCACAGTTGGCATGAATAGCCTAATATGACAGACTTTTATCATTTTCCCTGACCAGAACGAGTTCCAGATCTTCTATTGACAAAGGACTGAACCAGTGAAATGTATAATTCAGTCCCACACAACATTATTCTCATCACAACCTGAAATGAAGGCCATCTTACAGAGCACAGATGAGTAGGACTGCAGTGAAAATATTATATTGATAGAATGGCACATTCTGATTAGTCGTTCCTGCTGATTGTGGAGGCCCAAAATCAAGCCTAATTCTACTAGAGGTTCATAGGAACACAAAAATATAGGCAAGGTTACAAAATAATAAGAAGCCATCAACCCACTAATGTCTGTCTTTGTTCATTCTTCCTTGACCTGACTGCCACTCCTTGATATTTTGTGATGGATTAGTTTCAACAGCATCTCTGATTTATTCACCTTTAATTAATCCAGCAGGCTTTACTTTTTCCAATAAACCTATTATTTTTAGAATATTGTAAGTCCAATTGTAACAATGTTCCTGATTTCTTGATGAATTTTAAGCAATTACTAAGCTATAAAATGGCAGTTGAAGTGACTGAAAATAAACATATTTTTCTCTAGTTAATTCCCATAACTGAAGTTTATACCTTCAAAATTAGTCAAGAGACAATATATCATTCTGAAGGAGTGAGCCAGGGGAAACATACTGTAAATTGCCTGATACTCTTCACTTTCAAATGTCAGTGTTGTTCCTGAATTTATGAATGAGCTCCAGTGATGGGTACACAGAAAGACACTCAAAGAAGCGTGAAAAAAAGGAATGAATGAGATCTTGAGCTATGTGCCCCAGGGCTACACAAGTTCGAGCTGAGAAAGAGAGAAAATCGATTACATCTTGACAGGTGGAAAGAAAGTTTGATAAATCTGGCCTGATCAATTCTGATTCCCCCAACACAGTGGATTTAAGGAGATACACATGTACATAAGCTGGGGCTCAGAATACAGGCTCAAGACTTCTCCCACAGTGTACCTGTGTCTGCACCTCAAAAGACTGGGGCAGTCAATTATATATGACACCAGCAGAGAAGACGTTTAAGTTATATACAGTAGATGAGGTATTGTTCTAGGTTTTAATTTACTGACATGCATTTTTAATTGCTGTAAAACTTCAGGAAAAGGTCAAACCTTAATTTTGCATACTTCTTCTTTGCTACAGTATGTATAAATATCACTCTTGCTTGAGTGCTTTGTTTTTACATCCTTAATCACCCTATCTAGGCCCATACAGCAGCTCCCTCACTCACCGTTCATTAAAGGAGGTGAGGGGGGTTCTGACAGCCCTGTCCTTGTGGATTGGCTGTTGTTGTCCTCAGCCAGGTATTGTTCATGCCATATATCTATGCATAAACACTTGGACACGATTTTAAAATAATATTATCAACTTTTTTATAATTTTAAATGACCCTAGATCAGTATCTGAGGCATCTCTAATTAAATATAGGCTGGTGTGTTGAAAGAAAGGCTATGATACTCACACTTGGAGGCTTTCTGCTCAATGGGCCAGTAGCAGAACCCTCTTCTTGCCCTGTCATTGTATTCATTCCTGTACTGTGGCAAGTTCTGTGGAGAGACTGATATGCCTGGAATACATTGAGAACACAGGACTGACGTTTTAAATGAGGGGTCCTCAAACACCATCTGTGTTTCAAAATGAAATAAAAATCTTTTAATTTAGTAAGGCAAAACTTTCAATGTCGAGTTAATTTCCATCATAATGTCCTGAATCAGGTTAAGAGAAAAAAGATGTAAAACACATACAGAGTTTTAATAGAGGAAGACAAATTATATAACATTTAAACTGCCTCCATGACATTTAGTGAATGGTCACACTGGTCCTTTGAAATTGAAATGTGTTTAATGTGTATAAAAATAAATTCATCCATGTAGTGTATGGTCTTTGTCTCCAAGGCCTTTATGATTTTCACATAAGTGTCACTGCTAAGTATTTTAGTTATTTGGTGTCACTGCCAGTGAAGCAATACACCATCACTTTCAGAGGCAATAATTTGATAAAATGAAGGAAAATCAGCCAGATTTGCCCTGCACATTGCTGTCAAGTTCTTAGCAACAAGGTGTGAAACACCTGGGGTCAGTACATGAAGCAGCATACTGCTAGAGTCAAGGGTGAAATAGACTAAAGTGTCTCTAAAGCAAGATCCTAGAGAGCAATTTCATATTTCACAAATTAATGCCCAAAATTCTGGTTACAAAAAGAGAGGCTTGTGAGGTATCAAGGCTAAAAACAAGTCTGGACGTTTTGAGCTAGAATTTAGCAAAAACATACATTACATCATGAGACAAAACAGGTTATTTTGCTTCTTGACAAAGGAAGGATATGACCATTCATTTCATTAATACAAAAAGTGTTTCCTTTAACAAGGAATCTTAATTATCACACATTAATTGTACCTATTCCCTGGAGTCCTCCCAAAACATGCAAGAGAAGATGTCAGAAATACTTTGTCAGAATACTTTGTCAGAAAGTATATATGGAAAGCTTTTCTTCCTGTTTATGCTTTTTTCTATAAAGTTTTACGTGCACTTTGTAAATATTATATAAGATTTTAGACAGGAAGCAAAGTGGACATATGAACAACAATCTTTAAAAAAACAGAACAAAAAACTAACTGCAGAATCATTTTCAGAAAAGTTGGAGCCCTTTTGGAAAATTTCTCAGGGAGTTTATCATGACTGCTTTGGACAGACAAATAATTGTGCCAAAAGAAACACTTGACCATTATGAAAATTTGTTACAAAACACAAATTTTGTAAGTTGATTAAGATTCTATACTGCAATTTATATGCAAAGATTACTTAAGGAGATTTTAAATTAATTAATTGTTATTGTAATTACACCATTGTCAAAAGGGTGATCAGTCCTTTAAATTATCTAATGCTCTGTTTGATTTCAGTAAATGTACTTAAGATAGAAAATTTAGCAGGTTTGATTATTTCTGGACAAACTATACAAAAGAACAAAAGCTACGTAAATACAGTAAGTGCACATACAGTACGTGTTCCTTTACTGTTCTCATTTAAAAGTAGAACAATACCTTTCTCCAGAACCACAGCAATAGGCACAGAAAATGGAAAGGTGTGTATCTGAGAATAAAACAAAATATGTTGGATTGAGACTGAAAATCTAAATTAAACACAAAACCACAACTCTCTTCTCTTTGTACTTAAACACAGAAGGCACAGTCTCTTAGCAAATGGCACGGTGGTTTGTGCTTCCTCAGCATAGCCGTTTCCAGCAATGAATTGGATTAGTTGTGTTTCCTGAAACAAGCTCACATTTAACTTTGAAATGTCCCAAATTGTGTCAAAGTACGATATTTTGTCATTAAAATTGTAGACAAGGCTTCAGTTTGAAATTAGTGTTATATCTTGCAATATTGCTGTTGATTATTTTAATGAAATCAAAACAAAAGTTGTAATAGGAATTCAGGAGGAAGGCTTGATCCTTACCTCTTCTAGCCAGCATAGTATTTAAATCTTGCACCCAGGACTTGCACCCAGGACACCCTCCTACTATTTCATCTATGCCCCTGCAGCAACTCCCTGGCTCAATCCTTGCAAGATGAAGGAGGGAGGCTATCAATTCTCCCAGCCAGGAGAGTTCCACCAAATATACTCTGTAAACTCTGTCTCATATGTCTTAGAATCCAGACAAACTAATGAAAAATCACTTGGCATGCCTAGTCCACATTATATGTGTCTGTGCCATCTGATGGCCTGGTGTTCCATCCAAAGTATGATCCTGCCATGGAGCCAAAGCATCTGGATAGGCTATTGATTACCATGGGCCTCAGCAAGAGGAAAAAATGACTTTGTGATTTATCCAATGTGACACACTGCAAATCATAAGCTATACATCTCAAAATGTTTGTTGACTCTAAAAACAACACTCTCTTTTTCCTAGCGTTAATCCCGCACCAGCAGGGTCCGCTTCTAGGCACGCCCATCTCACTTTGGTGGTTTGAACCAAATCTTTGAGCTGACGTTGCCATTAAATGCGACCAAGAATACTCGAACCGGCGCGTTGATCCGCCTGCCGTCGGAGTGGATTCTAAAAACAACACTGATACCTTTAATATAATTATTAAATTATATTACAAATCAAATAAAACAGCAGGCAGAAAACTGAAGGAGCTCTAGTACAATATGATTTAAAACCCATCCATGGTAAGAAATGGAAATTATCAATAGCTTGAGTAAATGTCCTAAAAGAAACAAATGACTTTTTGGTACATCATTCCCGTTTAATAGTGGACCCTTAAAAATATACTGTACCATGTTTATAATCAAACTTTTACAATCAACAGTTGGACTGCATTGCACACAAATGAACATGAACATTCATTACACCGTTTCAATGCGCCAGCAGGTGTCAAATTGTGAGGAAAGCTTGGAGGATGTGTCAACTTCCTCTAAATAACACTGACAAAGCGTCATTGATAAAAGCAACAGTGATAGTCTATTTACTTAATTAAACCTGTCTGGCACAGGTGGACCTGCTATGACGATCAATCAATTCCAAATCATATTTTCAAATGGTACTCTATAAATACGAACTGTACACAAACAGAAAAAAAACTGTTGCAATTATGATGACAACATCATATAAATAATAATAATAATACCACTTCAGATCTCATTTTTGCCCAGTGATCGGTTTTGACACGAGGAAGAACCACTGGATCATTCCTTGGCCAGAATGTCATACTGCAAAAACAGAAAAAAAAACTCAGTATTGGAGAATTCACCTCTTTCTATGCTGCCAATTTTAAAATGTAAAATTCCCTGTGGGGGAAATAAGCAAAAGACAAGACAAAGAGCTGAAGAGCAAACAGCTGCTCTGTATATTTGTAAATGATGGTCACCTGCACATTATGTAACAGCCACAGCTGGCTTTTCTAATATCAATGTGCTGTTGGAATAAGAAAAGAATATCCATTTCAATATGACTTTAACATAATTTCTTAGGGGTGATTACAACATATTTCACTACCAAATTGACTAGAATGTGCTGACAATGATGCTTTGTACTTTTGAGCAACTGAACCTTGTGAGATCTTGTTAGGCCAATGCTGTAAATAACATTCTAGGGAGACTTAACATTTTTTTACTTCTAAACTCTGGACCACACCAAACAGTAACACAGGTCACAGTAACACTTAATGTTACATAGAGAAGGAATGTTGAACGTTTAACACAAGTTCACGCATCATATTCCTGAGAGATGTGCAGTAAAATGACAGTATGACTAGTGCTGACCTGTATGAAATACTTAACATCCCCACACAGAAAAATTTGAAACAAAAGTCTATGAACACATATTGAAGAGCATATGTAAAATAATCTGATGAGTCTTTTATTTGTGACCCCAGTTACTTTGTTCAAATGTTGACAGTGAGTAATTTTTAACAAGCCAAAAAAGAAGCAGCTGTGTAATCTGTATAAAGCAGTATGAATTCAGAAGAAAGGTTTTATTTTAACTTACTTAGGTTGTCTGAAGGGGCTAGGAGCCCTCACATTCCAATGCTTTCTCCCAGCTTGCATATTACTCTGTGTCTTCCTGAAACTAAGAGCAGCTCGTATTTCTTTGTAACCTAGCAACTGATTACGTCCGAACTCACAGTGCCTTTGGCAGGCATTGTGTGCTTTGCAAAGAGAAAATAGGCCAAGCTTATTTAAGCAATGGTAGTTATGACATTTTTTATGGGAAATTGAAGAGGTGGGCTGTATTATGTAAATGATAACTTCTTGTCATTAACTTCTAATCCTTCAAGTAGAACCAGGTAAATCCAAAACAGAAAAGTTTTTCAAATTTGCAATAAACACATTTTCAAGAACTGTATAGATGATTATTTTTAATTTAGACACTTATTGGACATTGGTAGTTCTATTCTAATAGGATTTTATATGAAGTTTAATCTAAAAAAATATTCATTTCACAAAAATGGTGAACCCTAACCACTTCTCTTAATTCTTTAAATTTGCAAAACACCAAATAAGAGTAACATACAGATCAAAATATATTTAATCAACAGTGTTATATAATACAGTACCAGATCACAAGACAGTCTGAACAAATATTTAGCTTAAACCAATTAAATTTGCTATCATTCTCCTTGATTACTTGGAAGTGGGTAAACATGACACTATACTTTTGAGGTAGAGTATATGAAGTATAGCTGAGATTGTTTTGCTGATGCCATTATCCAAAGCATTACATATTTATAACAAATAAAACAGGTAGGAATTGTACTAACGAATTCTGAGCGAAGTATACTTCACTCAGGGGATTAGTTATAATGCCCTGACAGGAAACCGAACCTTCTATTTGAAAGTGGTCAAAAAGGTCAAGAGAAAATCATTGCCAATTATAACAATACGATGGTAAACAAGCAATTATCAAAATGAACAAGCATATGACATTTCATTGCCTTTGAAGTGAATTGACAATATCCAAAAGGATTTCAGGATATTTCCTGTACAGTTCTTCAAGGCAGAAAGTGATCTAGCCAGTTCTGTCTCCAAAAATTGTGTTTGTTATGTCACCATTTCAATGTTATGTAAGGAAAAACACAAGTAAGCATTTCATTGTATGTGGGTACATGCAGGTATGATTAAACTTGAACTTGAAGCTAAAATAATCATACAGCATCGGCACATTTAAGGACAGCAGAATTTTCACATTCCTGGGGAATCATCATAGCTTTAATTTTGTAAGTCTAAAAACAATTTATTAAAAAGAATAAGATACACAATGCACAGCCAGACAATGTTTTGACAATTGAAAATGTAAAGCTGGTTGATTGATACTATTGTTTTGTAAAGAGTAGTTGATTTCACTCAACTGCTGGGTTTCTCCTCTCTTGACTCACTTTTCATTTAGCATTTCTTTTTTTGAAGCACTTATGCTTGATGTCATCACTTTGATCATGTGTGTTTTTGAATCATAGGATGTAATCATTGATTGAAACCTTGCATATCCTTAAAAGCTACATCTATGACTTCTCCACATATGAATGTGAAATAGGGCTTTAAAGTTTTTTAAAAAGCATGAGATTAAAGCTATCTCAAGTCTCACTGCATTTTGTTAATATGTCAGCATGTTTAAAGATTAATAGTCAGGAATAAAGACAGAAACATAAAAGCAGGGTTGCTATCAATTAAGAGGAAAACGAGTAACACTTTGAATTTAAAATCCTCATGAACTTCACATTTCTTAGCTACAGGGAACATACAACAGTCATATTCTATTTCACTCAATTTTTAATTAAGGTCTGGAAATCAAAACTGCTTCTTCTTCTCAATAATGCAGTGATCACGTTTTAATGAATAAAAGTTACTGTGCAGACAGGTTAAACCAAGACTAAGAATATGTAATATTTCTGAATGTGACAAACTATTATATTACATTATTAGAGTACATGGCACTTTCAAAATAAATATTCAAGGAAATTGAACATTTCCATAAAAATATTTGCTACTTTTAGTCATCTTTCACATGACATCATTAAAACACATTTCTATTTAATTCTGTCATTAAGGCATTTTATTATTTAAAGAAGATATTGGATTAACCAAAGGACTCAGCTATTGAATTAACATTGAAAGGGGCACATGTATTATCCACAATATAACTAAACAGTACTCAGGGCTGTATTGGTTTCTGCCAGACATTAATAATATATTTGTATACAATATGTGGAGGATGTGCAATAGGAAATTAGCCAGGACAACTAGTCACATATTTGTGAAAATACTAACTTTCATCCAATGCAACAATGAGCATGAACTTGTCTTAGGCTCTAGTACAATGCCATAGAGGACTGTGTAACCAACGCACTGAGAAAACACACACAGACGACACAAATTTCACTCAGAAGGTGATCACAGCTATCATAGAACCTAGGACCAAAAAGCTGTGAAGTTATATTCAGAAACTTATATTCAGTTAACTTCAGAAACAACACTGGAGATGCAATCTGGGTGTCCCTAAATTAGCTGCCCCAATTCCCAGCACCAGTACCTGAGACGATTGCACAGTTAATATCCGAATGTGAAAGTAACACTGATTTAACCATTGATTTAGTTTAGTCTGACTTTATAGACAATGGATGCTGACAGGGCACTGGGTAATGAGGATGAGGACCCTGGAACCTTTAATTGAAATGCCTGCTTCTGCAATCACAAACACAGAAAAGAATGAGATCCAGGAGAAAAATTTCCTTTAGCAATTTCACTTTAATGCATTAAACAAAAGGCACAGTGAAATAAGCTGAACTTTTTTTTAACCTGACATACTGACATACTCTTTAAATGCTAGCAGCCAGATAAAAGAAAAAAAAAACATATCTGGACAGAGAAAAAAACAGTTGAGCTTTCATTCACGCAACTGATTTATTGTTGGACCAAAGCAAAAAATGTAGCTCAAACTGGTTACAAAGTTCTTAAATAATTTTGATAGGTTTGTATAAAATAATGGAGGCTTTAAATTGAAAGAGTAATACAGTACATCGTAAGTTGAAACGGGACAAACTACAGCTGGTTCTAGCTGTGCAAGGACTATGTTACAACTGCAGTGTAAGATTTTAGAAGCTACATCACCTTAAAAAGCCTGTCACTCACTTACATCCATTTAAACATTCATCCTTTTTCTAATTACTTCATCTCATTCAGGGCCGCAGGTAAGCCACAGGCTATCCCTGCAAGCAGCAGGCACAAGGTAGGAAGCACCCAGGATGGGAAGCCAGTCCATCACAGGGCACAAAAGACACACATACCACACTCACCAGGGCTAATTTTCCCAGGAGCCAGATAAACTACCAGTATGTCTTTGGACTGTGGAAACTGGAGCACCCTGTGGTAACTCACACAAACTGCACACAAACAGAACCCCAGGTCTAGTGCTGAACTTTTCACTCACTTCCAAGAGGTTACATTCCTCAGAATCGGCTGCAAGGGATTTCATCCAACAAAACTGCTCTGAAGACAAGTCTAGAAGGTTAATAAAAAGGCACATTGCGTTCCTCTCAGACAATGCTGAGTGCGGTGTCCACAAAATGTGCTCTTCTCTGCCACACTGTGGACCATTCAAGATAATGCTGTATATGCTTTGAGGACATATACTGAACCTCATTTGTTACAGCCGGAATTATATTTCTAAACATCTTGACATGCATAGTTTCAGAATCACAGGGATAAAAGAAGTCATAAGAAATATACAGAAGAAATCATAAATTTTTCCAAATAAAACACTGGGATTTCCAGGTTGTTGAGGATATTTATAACTCATTCTTGAACCAGATATGATTTTATGATGGTTACACTGCAATACACAATATAGTCAGCAAGCACAAATTCAGTATAAATGCTTCACTTTAAATAAAGAAAAGGCGTGCTGTGATTTCTTTGTATCTATATGTGCACAACAGGAAAAACACTAGACTATAACCTTGAGGGGCCAGTTCAGATTCAGTTCCTGAGGATAACTCAAGCAATATATCCAAAGGATTCTTAAACCTTTAAGATACTGATGGATTCAATTGAACAGTTACATATAGAAACCTTCCAAGGTTAAAGCTTAGGAAAAGAGAAACAGAAGATAATAAGCACTGTTAAAAGAACCAAATGCTTCCAAACCCCCTTCCACCAGATGTTTCTTACTTTTGAATACCATCACTTATCTACAGTTCTGACATCTCCTTCCTCCAGAGTGTTCTTTTATGTCACTAAGCATTCTGGTCAAAGCATATACTGTATAAGTACTGGCCAAAAAACATTTTTTCCGAGCCCAGCGTCTAAGGTTGTTGAGCTTCTCTCTCCTCCTGCAATCTCTGTGCCACACGGCAGGCAATCTTCTGAATGTCCTTCTCTACACTGGGCCAATCCTCTAGATCTTCATGGAGACTCCTTGCGATCTCCAGCTTCCTAAAGTCTTCAGGCCTCACAAGACGGCGGATTATCTGTAAGCACCTTTCTTTAAGAGTGAAGACTGCAAGTGTTAAAAAAAAACTTGTTAGAAACCACAACTGCACAAAGAACATATGATATTACAACAACACCCAGAAAACTTTTGTGTACTATTTGCTCCTTTATTCGCAATAAATAATATGAACCACTTTAAAAAAAATAGACCCATCAGATCATTAGTACAAGAAAATCTCTCAGACTGTACTACTCAGAACTGCATATTAGGCTAATTTCTAAAAATTGTCCACCTCATAAACTAAAGTAAAATTAATTAAAATGAACATACGCACCAGGTAGTGTGATATTTACAAAAGACGGCTGGGAATGTTCCTGGGGTTTTGGAAGAAACAACTCTTTTCCGTTCACAATGAGTGGCTCATCTGTTTCTGCGTCTCTGAACATCCAAGGATGCCCTAAAGAGAAATAAACCATATTTAGCTAGCTGCTTGTATATGCTGAGCTAATCCAAAATATATATTCACAATATTTAACATCAATACATATCTAATGCAACTGCCCCCATATCTAATTTCGACCGTAAAGCCTCCTTCACGCACAAGGCTCAAAGTTTTATAACACTCCAATAAAAAAGCGTAGACTACTTTCGCAGGTTAAGAAAGAAATGAGAACAACCTTACATTTGCAAATGTTTTTTAATGCGATTCAAAACTCTCATTAGAATCGGAGAGAACTTCAGGATTTAAATTAGAGAACACATCACCCAGATGCTAAAAAGTGAAGCCGTTATGCACCGCTCACCTACATACGTCGTCATTCGTCTCCCTGTTCCTGGTTGTATGTTTTCGTAAGGATGAGCCTTCCCTCTGTAATTGATCCACACGGGTCGGACAACTCGTGGGCTCCGGTTACAAAATACCACATTGGAGCGTATCCGAGTATCCAAAGATCTCACCAAAGGGCGGTGATCAGTGTCTTCTTCGGGGGCGTCTTGGGGCATTATCGATCAATAACGAAGTAAAACCCGAGATAGTCTGACAGTCATTGGCAATGCTAGGTTTAACCTAGCGCGATATTTAACAACAAAGAGAAGTACTGCACAATACTTCAATAACTGGTCAAACAAAACATGGAACGAACACGATTGTCTCCTTCTACACAAAGTTTTATAAAATAAGTTTTTTTTTACTTAGTATGCTGCAGCTATGCGCATGCACACACCAATCGCTCCAGAAAAGGGGAACTATTTGTCTATGCGACGTACACAAAATGCTTCGTTGTATTAAAGTTTTGTAAATATTTATCAGTTCAATTCACCAAACCAGCTTGTTTTGCTAAACCAAGAGTAGAACGCCACCCACCCAATCTCTCTTTCTCTAAATGTTATTGTCAACGCAATTTCCTGTAACGTTTCCGGAAAATCCGCCCTAAGGCTGAAGATTCTCTTCAGTAATTGGATAACAGAGCCGTCGCTCATACAGTACTCTCAAGAAAGACTACAATTGCCAAAGTACAGTGCGTGTAATACGTCCATTGCGGGAGGAAGTGAATGAGTCGTGCTATGGATATGACGAGTTGAAAATAGTGCTTTTGAACAGTTTTCAGCAGGTCAGTATTTAAAGACGTTGTGTAGGGGAGATACATTTCCATCTTGAGTAAACGTATTTGTTAAATCGTTAAATACCCGAAGAGTAGTAAAGGGTTGCAAATGCATGCCTTGGATTTGTATTTATGGAAGTACGTCATTTTATTACAATAGGTTTATTATTAGAAATAAAATATTTTTGCTCAGTTTGACGAGAAACTCAATACTGATAAAATTA